TTGCAAATGAGTGCTGTCTGTCTGTACACCTGCATGCCAGCAGAGGGTATCAGATCCTGGGATGCATGGCTGTGAGCCACTGTGTGGTTGCTGGACTTGATCTCCAGTCCTCGGGAAGAGCAGCCAGTACTCCTAACTGCAGACCCTTCTCTCCAGCCCCCTGCCCCAATTTAAAAAAAAAAGTTCGAATTTTAAGAAATTAAAATTTTTAAGTGAGTGTCTTTATATTACTGTGCTTAGAATAAACTTTAAAATGTGATTATTTAAATTCTAACACTGGGTTTACTCAGCCAATTGAACCTTTAATCACCTTTAAATTTCTTGCCATTTCTGCACATCACCTGGGCTTCACAACAGAGCTGGACCTGGTGGCAGCCAAGTAGGTGAGCTGGCTCGGTAAGCAGCCTGCCATGAAGAGGTGTGGTCCCATCTGGAGAGACCGCCCCCACCCCTTGGTGGCTGCAGCACTCAGGAGAGGCCCCTCCACTGCTGGAACGGATGCAGGAGAGCTGTAGGTAGGCAGGCAGGCAAGCTAGTGGACTCAATTACCATCCAAACCCATGTTGGAATCGGCCCACCCCAACATCTACCTCATCTGTGAAATGGCGGAGCATATGAAAGGGCTGGTCCTGCAGACCCAGAGCTGCAGGATCTCCATGACACAGGGCAGCAACAGGAGATCTGAGAGGACCCAGTACTGATGGCGGAGAGGAAGCCAGAGGCCTCAAACTAGTCCAGTGACTCATTGCAATAAATACTTGCAAGTAAAGATGTAAGGACAAAAGTTATACTGTGTGACACATTGTGACACAGTACAGCTCCCATGATGATAGGTTTTTATGCTTTGTTTTATTTTACTTTTGTTTTCTACTTTGTTTGGAAGGTAGGTTGCAAGGGTGGAGGGAGGATACGAGGGGACGGAGAAATGAGTGGGGCTGGAGTGCATGATGTGAAAATCGGAAAGAATCAATAAAAAGCTAAGAAAAAAATTCTTGCCATTCAAAAATCCACATTATCACTAGTGGCTGGGCCTGCATGGAGATAGCTTGTCTGTTCTGCTGAATGAGGGAGAATCTCACTTGTAGACCAGGCTGGCCTGGAACTCACAATGCTCCTGCCTGAGCTTCCAGGTGCGGGGATTACAGCTATGCACCACCATGCTCAGCTTGGGTAGCTTTTATGACCTAACACAAACTTGCTTTTTTTTAACTTAGGATTTGTGTTGTTGCTGGTCTATGCCACTTTTGCCTTTGAAACCAGACTTCACAAACATCCCTCTGCCAACCAGTACCGTTCCCAGGATGCTATGGTGATGAGGAATCACCTCTTATGGTTCCAAAATGAAAAGTGAAGGCCTTTGTTTGTTTTTGCTGGTATTGTGGACTGGATCCAGGGCCCTTTACATGCTGGGCAGCTGACCTGAGGTCCCACTGAGAGGCCAGGGAAGGCTCAAGGCCCTGAAATGAGCATTTTAGGGAAACAAAAATCGAAACAAAAAGCCTAACTTCTCCCAAATATCAGACAAGATGAAACCAATTCTTTACAAAGCTTCTCCAGTCTTACAAATGGCCACATTTTGGGTTCAAATACAGCTGTGGGTATTTTTGGTTTTGAACATTTACTGAGACATTTCTCAGGAACATATTCAATTACAAAACAGTCTGCTCAGGTTTCACAGAGAACTTGTCACCCACATCCTGCTTCTGTCCTGGAGATGGTATGGAATCGGCTGCTGCTCAACAGGGTTTATTCCTGTAATTTCTGAGCAGTGTTCAGGTAAATGGAGTTACAGAACGTCAGACTTAACTGAAGCTGTGCTAACAACACGGCTCATGGTACCATGCCCAGTAAATAAGCAGAAGAACAAAGAGTATGTGAAGTACTTACTGAACAATAAAAAATAAAAATTCGGCAACATCTTCTACATAAAACTCAGGCAATGCTGCAAATACCTTGGGGACTTCTGAATTTAAAGGCAGTGTCACGCTGTAGAGGAGAAAAAAGGAGAACTTACAAATGATGTCATGGCACGTCGATTACCAGGGGCGTGTACTTCTAAATACCCCATTTTAGAAAGAGCGGCCCTTACTGTGTAACACACCCGTGTAAAAGGTACACAGGCAAACAACTGTGACCTTTCCATGTGCTGAGAGGATGGGGGGACGTGGGCGTGCTTTGGTGAGCGTTCGCTTGAGCGTTCGCCTCATCTGGATTTCTTGCTAGACTTAAGGCAGTAGTTAAACCGGGAAAGAAACCCAAAGGCTGCATTTGGTGAATTCGAGAACTCATGCTGAATGGGCAAGGCCAGCATATGTTTTATATAAGCTTCCCCGGTCTTTTAGGGACACAGACAACCTCACGAATACCTGTGACCCAGGAGTTTCACAATAAACTTAAGAACCATGACTTAAGCAGCAGTGACTATCCTTGGCTCTCCTGGACCTGGTGCTGAGGAGGCTCAGGAGCCTGTCATCTCTAGCACTTAGATTCCAACTTAGAAACATCCTTTTCTAGCCATCCAATGTTATAGCAAAGCTTTAAAATGACAGCTATTAAAAAACACATGGGCCGGGCGGTGGTGGCGCACGCCTTTAATCCCAGCACTCGGGAGGCAGAGGCAGGCGGATTTCTGAGTTCGAGGCCAGCCTGGTCTACAGAGTGAGTTCCAGGACAGCCCGGGCTATACAGAGAAACCCTGTCTCGAAAAACAAAAAAAAAAAAAAAAAAAAAAAAAAAAAAAAAAAAAAAAAAAAAAAACACATGGGGAAATACTAACACAGCTTTGTATGTATTTACATAGAACAACAATCTGACAACTGAAACACAGATTCTCGGGAGGGTAAGGATGTGGTTTTAGTGATGACTGAAGAACAAGTGAGACAAGGCAGCGGCCACAGCGGAGACGAGGCAGAGGGAAGGAAGCGCGCTCACTCAGGATATGCAGGGTCCAGGATGCGCAGCATCAGCTGAATGAGAAGGCCATAAAAATTCAGACATCTTCTTAGGAAGCTCTCGTCAAGTAAGCCAGCGTCAGCACAGGCCTTGCACCGTACCAGTTTCTGTGGAAGGAGATGGGCCCCCACCCGTACATTAGTCCAATGCCAAGGCCCCTGAGCTTGGGTAGGCAGGGAGGGGCCAGGAGATGAGAAAACTAGGGTCTAGTATCTCTAACTAGCCTCAGGACACTAGTGGTTGAGTCAAGGTCTTTCTGTTTTCTGAATAAAGACAACAGGAAGATAAGCGGCGCAAACCACCGAGCACAGAAGCCAGCAGTCAGTGCCAGGGGTCAGTCACTGACACCACTGCTCAGGAACTTGGACAATCAGTGGAAAAAGCCAGACAAACTGTATCTGAATTTCAGCACCACCACTTCTGCGCTACCTTCAAGCAAAACGTTTGCCTACTAGGCTGCAACACCTCAGAGGACCTGCCAGAGGAGACACACACAGATGCCACATCGTGATAAGTGGACGTTTAGCTTATTACAGACCCCTTGAGTCACAACTATGGAATATAAAGGAGGCTACAGATCTGAAAGAAGGGCTCTGGCGACTCTGCATCCCGTTGTTCAGTTAAGACAGGGTCTCTCTCTGTAGCTCAGGACAGCCTTAAGAAGTCATAGCCACGCTCCGGTCTCGGCCCAGCTTACAATGCTGGGGTCACAGGAACGAGCCACCATGTCCAGCTCCATTTTGTATCTCAAAAGCACTCTGGACTATTAGCAAGCGAAAACCTGAAACTAGCTTGTCACAGAAATCAGAGACATTTCCTCTATACTCCCACTAGTCAGGAGCGCCCAGGGGCAGCTAACACCCAGCTTTAGGTTCTAAACACCGACGCAGAAAATGCTCATGTGTCTCTGTTTTCCTGAGTTTTACCAGCAGGGATGTTTCCGTCTGTAGTTAGGTTCTTTGAACAGACCATTTTTAATTAGACATAAAGAACGAGGGGGCAGGTGAAGGGGATCTTTCTACAACCATGCGCCGTGTCGCCTGCTGTGATAACAAGATTGCATGTCTGGGAGCATGGCTGTGGCAGGGCAGGAATGTCTTCACAAGCACAGGGAAGGGTGTGGAGCTTACACTGCGGCTGAGAACACTTACTAAGGATTCACTACATAAGAACTTATGTTCTCTGCTGAGATTGAAATAATGAGGTACAGAAATACACAAGGTATCGTCGAGTTTTAAATAGTTCCATGTTACCTTGAGAGAAAAGAACAACAAAGAAATATCGAGGACACAAGTGCTTGCTCATGGTGCTTATTCTGGCGAGGATATTACTAACATGAGGCTGGCCATGACTACGTCAATCGGCTGGACAAACCTTAAGCTGAGTTTTACAGCGCTTCAGCATCTCGCGGTGTCTGGTGGCCAGTGGGGAATCCTTCCACTGGCTTTCGTTATTTTTCAAATCTTCCACCGTTCTGAAATTAACAAAACAAACAAAAATCCTAACAATCAAATGAAAGAAAACACCCAGGTCCATCTTATCTCGGACTCTCTAACATAACTGTTTCATACTTAAGTACTTTGCATGTTTCTATGTATGTATGCTTGTTTGTTTTGCAAGAAAAGAGTTTCTCTTTATAGCCTTAGCTGTCCTGAAACTCACTCTGTAGAGCAGGCTGCTCTTGACCTCTCAGAGATCAGCCTGCTCCTGAATCCCAAGGGCTGGAGAGGTGGCTCAAGGGTTAAGAACACTGTTGCTCTTGCAAAGGACTTTGGTAAATTTCCCAGTTCCTATAAGGAGGGTTAAGAACACTGTTGCTCTTGCAAAGGACTTTGGTAAATTTCCCAGTTCCTATATGGAGCCACAGTCATCTGTAACTCCAGTTCCGGGTCTGATGTCTCCTTCTGATCTCCATGGGCACTGTACATACATGGTGCACAGACACACATGAAGGAAAAACACTCATACATATCTAATTAGATAAATCTTTAAAATAAAAAAATTAACAAATTGCTTCAAAAATTTATAGCCAATGAACTAAAACATAAAAGTATAAAAAAGAATGGACTGCGACACCATTATATGTGGAAACCAAACTTTAAAACAATCTACAGAGTTGCCAAGCAGTGGCACACACCTTTAATGTCAGCACTCAGGAGGCAAAGGCAGGCAGATCTCCATGAGTTCTAGCCAGGACAGCTAAGGCTACACAGAGAAAGCTGGTCTGAAAAACAAACAAACGAATGGATCTACAGTCTAGGTGAGTGTACATGCTGAGGAATCTATAGTTACAGATATTCAATATGACAGTTTTTCTGACAGCCAAACTAGACCAAATGGAAGTGGTTTTGGATGGCCTGTCCAGCAAAGGTCTGTTTCCATGTGCTGAGATGCTTGTTTGCTTGGAGAACCTGACCATCCAGAGATGCTTAAGTTAGAAACAGCAATGGTGCCAATGATTTGATAGTTCACAGGTGAGGCTACAAGCCAGCCTTTGGGCTCCTCAGACACAAACACAGGCCAAAGGTGAATCACTCGTTTCTCTTGATTATCACAGGAAATCAGGGTTTGACATCCAGAGCAAGATGGGTACACCTGGAGGGCAGGCACTCCTCACAGTGGTCCCTCCCTGGTCATTCTCACACCAGTGGAAACAGACTTTAGTAACCACAGAAAGGAACATCAAGGGCTGAGAGATGAACCCCTGGATCATTTTATCACCTGAAGAACACTGACAATGAGCACCAATATAGTAGTAGAGGCAGACAGCACCCTGCAACATACACAGCCTACTCTCAGATATACTGACCACAGTCAACGCCTTGTGCCTAAGAGGCAGCAGGAACAGCCAGCCAAGACAGGGAGCATGGCACATACCTATTGAGCTCTCGGATGGCTCGGAGTCGGCGAATGTAGCGACGACAACTAGGCAGAATAGAGAGGTGATGTGCATGCAGGGTGAGAAAGAAACATTCCGTAGGGAATTTTGGCTCAGAAAACGGAGGCTGATCGCCATCTACAAAGAAAAACAAACAAACATGTATCCTTCCGTGAAATCAGTTATAAGTCTTAAGGAAAAAGTTCAATTCTGAAGGAAAATAGGTTAAGAATATTTCTGTGTGCATGTGTGTGAGGACATGGTGTGTGTGTGTGTACGATGTGCATGTGTCTGTAAGGACATGGTGTGTGTGTGTATGTGTGTATTATGTGCATGTGTCTGTAAGGACATGGTGTGTGTGTATGTGCATGTATATGATGTGCATGTGTCTGTGAGGACATGGTGTGCGTGTGTGTATGTGTGTATTATGTGCATGTGTCTGTAAGGACATGGTGTGTGTGTGTATGATGGGCATGTCTCTGTAAGGACATGGTATGTATGTGTGTATGTGCATGTATATGATGTGCATGTGTCTGTGTGTGAGGACATGGTGTGCATGTGTGTATGTGCATGTGTCTGTGTGTGAGGACATGGTGTGCATGTGTGTATGTGCATGTGTCTGTGTGTGAGGACATGGTGTGCATGTGTGTATGTGCATGTGCATGTGTCTGTAAGGACATGGTGTGCGTGTATGTGCATGTATATGATGTGCATGTGCATGTGTGCGAGGACATGGTGTGCGTGTGTGTAAGGACACAGTGTGCATGTGTATGTGTGAGGACATGTAGTACGTGTGTGTGTACATGTGTGTATCATGTGCTTGTGTGTGTGAAGACAAGGCATGAATGTGTGTGCATTTGAGTACATGGCTTTGCATACATGAGGCTGGAGCTTGTACCTTTATACACCTCATTTTTGAGACTGGGTATCTCACTGAACATAGACATCACGAGCTTGAAGGGGATGATACAAAGGTCATCCTGGCTCCTTCCCCCAGTGTTGGGGTGACGGGTATGTACTGCCATGTGCAGCTTTTCTGAGGGCACACGGAAGCTGAGCACAGGCCCTCATGCTTGTCTCACAGCGCTTTACTGATCAAGTGAGCCATCTCCCCAGCCCAGGAAATTTTATTTTGTGTTGTTTTGAGACAGGGTCTTCTCTATGAACTTCTGCCTGTCCTGGAACTCACAGAGATCTGCCTGCCTCTGCCTCTCAGTGCTGGATTAAAGTATACACCACTGGGTGCAGCCTCCAAGAGTATTTTTTAAAATACAAACTTATGTGATGTTACACGAGAAATAAATTCCTCATGCTTTAATTAATGTCCTATATCATCTTTTCTGATTAAATGGTGGCATAAATCAATCTTTTATGATGTGTCTTCCTGATAAACTCTATAAAACCATCTTCATTTTCCAAGCTGAACGTATTACTTCAGTCTGAAATGATTAGGCCATATTAATAAACTACAGTCATTTTCCTGTGTTTGTGATCTTCTCGGATGAAGAACTATGCACTAAGCCATCAATGTTGTGAGTAGAGGCAGAAACTAGAATCATGGATCGGGTACCATTATACAGCAGTTCTTAATCAGCACACAACTGGGCTCACAGGGTAGAGCTGGCACTCCACACTTGTGTACAAGTATGGTGGTCAGACCACTTCAACCACTTATCGGTTTTTATGTAAAAACATTCAAATAATCCCGAGTGTATATGAGATACACCGGCGCTGCCGCTGAAGACCATCACACGGTCTCTTCTGCAGAGCTGCAGCCTTAACCGGCTGCACTGCTGCAAGGGCAAGGTCTTGCTGCTTAGGAGACCAGGCAGGAGGAGTGCTTGAGTCTAGGAACTTGAAGGTTGCCTAGGCAACACAGGGATGGAGTCCTCAACTCTTCAGCTACTCCTACCGAGCCACTGCCGCTCTAAGAGCTGTCCTCCCTGGGCCTCCCTCACCTCGGCAACAGTATTACAATTTCTAGTTAAGTTTTGCCAAATGTTACTTTAGAGTGATGAAGTGAACCATTAGGTATCTGCTGCTTTCTTTTCTTCTTGGTCTTGGAGGGCAGGGTCTTACTACGTGGTCCATGCTGACCTTGAACTCACGTCTTCTATCTCAGTCTCCTGAGTGGAGTGCTGGGCTGTAAGCACGCACCGGGAAGGGCTGAGCACCGAGTAACCCCCTTTCTAGAAGGTGTACATCTATCTGGTCACGGGCAGCTCCATTTTCAGGGAAGTAGGAACTCGTTCTACTCCACCCAGAAGCAAGATTATTGTTATCACACCTTAAAATAGGCACAGTCTCAACTGTCAAAATATAACAAAAATCTACAGAATATAAAGTTGCTGGGTTTTGGGCTGGAGAGATGGCTCAGCGGTTAAGAGCACTGACTGCTCTTCCAGAGGTCCTGAGTTCAACTCCAAGTAACCACACGGTGGCTCACAGCCGTCTGCAATGGGATCCGACGCCCTCTTCTGGTGTGTAGGTGCACATGCAGATTGGGCACTCATGTACATAAAGCAAATAAATAAATCTTTTTAAAAAGTTGCTGTTATTTCTTTCTTTACTCTCACACCCATCTGTTCTACGAATCTGTGTGGAGTAATCTGAGGATGAATTTTTACTATGCTAATTTTAACTATGTCTGTCTGTGTCTGTGACTCTGTCTCTCTCTGAGCCGGGTGGAGGAGAGAGGGACCTAGCAAGGACCTCGTCACTCACAGAGCTCCGTCAGCCACTCATTCACATCCTCCATCGTGGCGTTTATCCGTGTCTCATCATTCGGGAGGTTGATCCGACATCTCGGGTGGAATATGTAAGTGGGGTCGACTGTTTCTAACTTGATTTTTGTACTTAGCTGCTGCAGGACCCAAAGGAGATTCAGCATAAACCCGTCTGTAGACACCAACCGATCATCTGCCTGTGACATAAGCCGCAAAGCAATTGAAACAATTGTTAGGCACACATTTCACAGATTCGGGCAACTTTCTATGAAAGCACATTCAAATGTAAGCAGGCCCGAAAGCCAGTGCCAGGACATGTGGCGAGCACTGTCAATCAGCTAGCAGGTGCTAGCCCAGCAGGATTCCATCCATCCACTACCACAGACTCACTGACCTCTACGATAACCCCAGAGTCCATACAATACAATTCACATTGTAGAGAAGAACTATAGACCAGGGAATCAAGTCAGTGAGAGTACAGTAACTGTAGCTGCCTCTCTCTTTCTTATTGCTCAAGAACAATGAGCTGCACTTCGCCCACACGATAGCTTTTCCATCTTAAACAGTGAGCACAGTCCTCTGCGAGTAACAGAGGCTCAGAGGTCACTACACACTCAGAACTATTCTAATGGTTTACATGTAAAAGGCTCACAGGTTAGCTGCCACTCTTAACCCCCCCTTAGCAAATGAGGAAACTGAGGCACAGAGAGGTAACTATCAGGTATGGCCAACTTACAGACCACACGTGTCAAAAGCCAGCTGTTAACGTGACCCAATATAAAACTGTAGACTTACATAGAACATGATGGGGTTTTTGCATGTGACCTCTTTTGACTGAGTAGTTCTTGGCTGTTGAGTTATGGGTGACACTACCATGTGACAATGTCAACAGATGACATACCAGAACACTAATGAGCATCAAAGACACTGGGATTTTGCAATTCTCTATACTTTTATTCTTTTGCTTCTAAGACCTTATTATTCTAAACAATCTACAATTTACATTTTCCCACTGTTACCACGAACACTGGAGTCCGTGAGTTCCTGGTGCCTCCTTGAGTTGGCTTCCAAGCCCACCCTCTGTCATTTCATGGCTGACACATGTCTCCTTCCACGGATTCTACAACAGTCCTCATCGGTAAACCCTGGCCAGACTCAAAAGCATGGTTTCTTTTGTTACCTGCCCATGTCCCCATCACAAAGGCCTGTGACTTGCAACAAAGCTGGCTCATTTCAAAGCTAACACACTATCAGCAAGAGGGCTCTTCTCTCAGCCCTGCAATGACCAGCTCTTCAGTCGAGGCTTTAATAAAAGGCTGCTCTGCTACCTGATCAAAGTCCACCCCTGTCCAGCACTCTACAAGCACTCCTGAATCCTTCACACTCCACCAGCGACTACTACTGTCTGGATGCCTGTGCCTGCATGTCCACCCCCTGCACAATACCTCGAGCAGGGTGCTTGCCTGTCTTGCTCCGTGCTGCCTTCCTGACTCCCAGAACCCAGTGTGGGAGGTGCTAAGTCAAGTCTGCACTGGAGAACAGGTTTAATGAGTAACTGAAAGCACTTGGGGACTCCTACCTGCATCTGGGCTTTCTTCATATTGGCATTGACAATGGCCGCCATGTAACTGAGAGCTGCTTCACGGGTTTCGCCGTTTAACAAAATACTATGTAGAATCTTGAAAAGCTCTTGCTAAATTATTTTCAAAATGAAAAAAACCAATTAATTTCTTTTTTACTTTAATAAAAGCCTCCCGCTCCCAACTTCCTCTCCCATGTCCACTCCTTGTAGGGAACCCAAGTACAATCAACAAATAGAAGTGTGTGTGTGTGTGTGTGTGTGTGTGCGCACGCGCGCGCACAACCTCAATAGGAAAGATGTTGAGTAGTTAGTGTTAAGAAACAGCCTTTGCATCTTCCCTTGCATGTCCAGTGTGGCCTCGATACTTTTACAGTTTAGAACGGGAGGTGTAGAAAGCTGAAGAGAGCATGGCCACCAGGCACAGCAGCCCCAGCAGCTCAGTCTGCTCTGTCCCTCTACAAAGTCTGCTCCTTCAACATTTCACTGAACTTTGTCATACGGCAATAACCACTGTTTAACTCACTGGGAAATCACACTGAAAAGAATCACATTGGACAGCCTACTTCATAGAGCATACGTAACGTTTCTTTCACTTGGGCATGACGCTCCCCGAGAAGTGGCATAGCTAGGTTTCAGTCACTGGAAGACACCTTGACTGGCATGCCTTAGGTGCTAGGCTTGCGTTTCATCTCTGCCCAGAAGCAGCAGCAGCAACAAGTGCTAAAAGCCACGGGCGTGGGGTCTACATGGAAGCCTTGTTTTTAAATTGTCTGACTTCTATGACACGAGTGACCTGGGATCCCTAGACTGATGGGACAGGCCCTTCTTCCCCAGGGAGGCGCCCTCTCTCCTCTGAACACCTACCCGTCCCAGCTCCAGGTAGTGCTGTAGTGACTGGCTGACCACGCGGGTGTTCTCCAGGGTAATGGCAGGCCCTGAGAAGTATTTCTCAACCACCTTTGCCTAAAAGAAAAAGGAATGCATGCAATTAGAAAGCCCACAGTGACCATCAGGACAAGCTGGGCAGCTGCCCGGTGTGTACTCACATCATCCTCTGCGAAGACTGAGAAGCTAAAGAAGGCCCCTAAGTAGGAAAGTCTCTGCAGCTCCCGCCCAGAACCAGGGCTTAAGGACTTCGGCAACCACAGGGGTAAAGAGGCGACCTAGACACAACACAGAAGGGCCAGTTAAGCTGCTGAGGGACCTGGCACAGCAGGATCTCAGAGAGTCCAGCAATCGGCGGCAGAGGTGGTTCTAGCCACCCAGCACCCGAAAACACAAGGCACAAGCAGGTTGGGTTCCTTGTAATATTTCTGACCTCAGATAGAGGGTACTCTCCAACATCCGAATTTTTATAAGATATACGTTTTAATTTTTATTTAGCCTTTCACAATCGAGTGTGCAGTCTGATGTATTTCTATCCCACTGTCCTATCTTATCACTGTCTTCCTCCCATTAAGACCCTCCTTCCCGCAGGTCCACCTACTCTCATGTGCTGTCTGTGTAGGCCACCCCATCTGAGTAAGGACACTGACAGGAGCGTGAGTGGCCATCTGTTACTTCGGCAAGGTCACACTACTACTAGTACGATAGCACAGGGCACACTACTGAGGACAAGGACTCTCCTCAAACCATTAACTCTCTGCCATAGGTCAGTGACATTTAAAAGATCCATTCTGATGCTACTCAAAGGCTCTGCTCACTGTCCCAAGGCACTTTGCTCTTCGAGTTGTAAAGTGCTTACCCCCACCCCAGAAAAAAATCAGACTTTGTTGTAGAATACACTATATAATAGCAAGGTAACAGAGGAGAGCAGCCACACACACACACACACACACACGTCTCTCCCTTTAGCCGACACGACTTTAATAAAACTGGCCTGCTGACAGAGGCCGTGTCCATACTCACCAGGCAGGCACTTACCAGATTGCACACAGGGTGTGTCTTCCCAAACTTGGTTTCACAGAGTTCACCCAGTGCCTAGAAACAAGAAGGAAAAGAATCACTATCATGTTTTCTTTTCTGTCTCACAGTGTGCCAAGTGTGACAGCAAGGGACAGCTTTCATTTCCACTACAAATGCTTGGCGAAGCTCCCTGTGAGGCCATCAGCCTCAATAGTTTTCCTACTTATACATACACACACACACACATACATACATACATACATACTTGTGAACTGCAAAACAAAACAAAAAAAATAAGCAAAGAACAACAAAACCAAAAACCAGGAAACAGCAACAGCTTAGACAAGGAGGACGCAGCACAGGCAGCGGGTGCTCGCTCACACCTCTCCTGCGGACAAAGCGCCTGTGCTGCCCTGTGAACAGCTTTCCAGTCGTGTGCACTCAGTTCTTAAGACTGAGTTCTCATTTGTATCATTTCACAACACAAGACCCACTGAACAGACTATGTGTGCTAATCCCTGCCAGCACCACCCAGGGCTTCACTCTGGACCCAAGAAGCTACCTAACAGCCACTGAGCCTGTGGAGAGGCTTGAAGTCAGGGATGTAAGTTCTCCTGGCCTAGTGTAGGATATCACATTAATATCCAGGGAAAGCTGGAAACAATCTCAACACCAAACACCAGGCAACAAACCGTCCACAATTGAGAAAACCTGATGCTGGTTGCCAGACGACACTGTCGTGATTTATGGTTGCTGCTGTTATCATTGTGGGGTGTGGGGGTGGGGTGGGGTGTGCTTGCATGTGTGTGCTCATGTGTGTGAGGTGTCAGGTGTTTGCACTTGTGCATATGTGTGTTTTCTTCCAGATAAGGCTTTGCTATGTTGCCCAGGCTGGTGCAGAACTCTCAGTTCTCCTTGAGCCTTAACCTCTTAAGTACTGGGACTGCCGCTTGCCCAGTAGCACCAGCATAAGAAACAGCCCTCTGGAGATCGCAGCATAGGACAAACCAGAGCCTGCCAATCATCAATTCACCAATAATCAAGTTATTTCTGAGCTAGCTCCAACAGTCCTCCTCTCCCCGTGGTACTTTCCTCCTCTTCCTCCTCCTCCTCCTCCTCCTCCTCCTCCCCCCACTTCTTCTCCCCCCCCTCCCAATGCACCCTTGTTACTGTACTAGCATCAACAGCGGGCCCCAAGTTAAAGCACGTTCTCCCACAAAGGATGATCTGTCTTCCACCAAGGACATTTTCTGGATCCTGTCATCACATTCTCTTCACTGAGACACTAAACCGAACCAGATGAGGATCAAGAGCAGCAGCTCCGAGGGAGCTTTATGGGACAGTGAGGGTGATCGGCACTAAGAGCATCCCCGCTGAGGCAGCAGCAGAGTCCACTTCCCGCTCTCGGCCAGTTTATTAGAAACAGCCTCAGAAACATGCTCAACTTTATTTATCGCTTTGGTTTTTTTTTTGGGGGGGGGGGGGGGAGGAGGACAAGATCTCACCATGTAGCACAGGCTTGCTCGTCTGGAACTCACTATAAAGTCTGGAAATGACCGCCCTCCCTCAGCCTCAATTGCTGAACTTTCGTGCACCTGGCTCAACATCGTTTTTTTTTTTTTTTTTTTTTTTTTTTTTTTTTTTAAAGGCAGGATGTCGTGTACCCAGGACAACATCACACACTGCGCAGACAAGGGAGACCCCGAGCTCCTGATCTTCCTGCTCTGACTCAGTGCTGGGATCAAGGTGTACCAAGACACCTGGCTTTTTGTTCTGTTTTGTTTTTAGACGTAGTCTCTATAGCCTAGGCTGGCCTTCAATTCATGACTTTCTGTCTCAGATCTCTAATGCTGGGTGACCACTGGGTGACCGTGAACTACCACACTCAGCTAAGCTTCATCTCATCCCCAACATTATGTCCTTTTCCTTGTTAACGCTATGCTAGTCTGGTTTTCTCGGTTTGTTTGTTTTGAGACAGGGTTTCTCTGTGTAGCCCTCACTGTCCCTGGAACTAGTTCTATAGACCAAGCTGGCCTTGAATTCAGAGATCTGCCAGCCTCTGCCTCCCAAGTGCTGGGGTTAAAGGTGTGCACCACCACTGCCATTTGTCTTGATTTTCTAACAGTAGTCCTTCTGTCACCTGTCTGAGCATCTGTCACAGCTTAACTGTGAAGATGTTTTGTGATGACGCGACTTCTACCCTGAATTATGAGTATCCTAAGAGAAAAGAGCTTGTGACCCACTTCGAGGTACAGGGCGCATCCCCAACATTCTGAGTGAGCGACATGATGGAAGTAAATGAAGAGAAAGAGTAAAGGAACAAACGTAACTTAGAGTTTCAATTTCTTTATGGCCTCATTCTATACAAAGCTGTACCTGTATGTAAGTCCTATAGTAAATGACTTCCATGGTTTGATGTTTATTTTTTCTATTTTAATCCTGTAACAAAATACCAGAAGACAGTCATCTCCCAAAATTTCAAAGAAGCAAATGCTGGACAGAAAAAAGCCTCTCATTTGTTGCTGTTTGTTTGGAATTTTTTGTTTTTTATTTTCAGACAGGGCCTCTCTACAGAGCCCTGGCTGTTCCGGAACTCACTATGTAGCCCATGCTGGCCTCAAACTCACAGCGATCAGGAGCACCTGCCAGGTGTTGGTATTAAAGTCATGGCCCACGCTGCGACTCATACGGACAGCAGTGTTTCACGGGAGTGGAGTCTCAGTGAGAATCTAGCTAAAGGCTCTTCTTCCAATCTGCGGTTGTTCCGAGCGCCTGGAAGCACCAGGCACGTCTACTCTGAATAGACATGGATGGGATGCGCGGCCTCAATGGCAGGCAGGCTATAGACACGCGAGGTTTACGTGGGTTTAGTCTTCCTGCCAGCCAGGCAAGTACTTTAACTACTAAATCACCTCCTTAACCTCTATTAACAGGCTAATTTTAAAAATTATTCACTTAGTGTGTGTTTATATATCTGTGCATGGGCACACAATGTACGGACAGGCGCCAAGGACACATGCCAAAGCCCCGATTTAGAAGTCTGAGTAAGACTGCTCAGCAGTTGGTTAGTGCCTTGCACCTTGTTTTAGGGCAGAATCTCCTTTTTCTACTACTGTGCTTTGCTGCTCCAAGCTAGCTAGCCCACAAGCTGGCAGCCAGCTATCCTGTACAGCCTCTTATCTTACCCTAGGTACGCCGTGACTACAGACAGGAACCAGCACACGGGGCTTTTAATGTCGATTCCCAGGAAGCAAACTCAGGTCACAGGGTTGTGTGGCAAGTGTTTTAACCTGCTGGGCCATCTCTCTGGCCCAATAAAAACGATTTTGTCCCAGGTGGGCATGGCAGCACGCAGCAGTAACCTTAGCACTCAGGAGAATGATGGAGGTTCATGATTACATGGCTAGCCTGGGCTATACGGGAAGATATTAAAATGATCTGGTTGGGGATTTTTTTTTTTTAAAGATTTCTTTTATTTTTATTTGTGTCTACATGTGTATATGCCTTCTGAGTGCAGGCATTCGTGTAGGCCAGAAGAGGGTAAATCCTCTGGAGCTGGAGTTTCAGGCTGTTCTGCAGACCGACCTCCAGTTCTGTAGAAGAGCATCAAACACTCTTGACTGCTGAGCTACTTTGCCAGCCCCATCTGATGCTGCTTCCCATTTATTATGACTGTACGTGTGCGTGTGCCTGTGCCTGCGCGTGTGTCTATAGGGTAGGGCACAGCATGTACGTTGGGTCTCTCCTTCATCCTTACGTGGCTCCCAGCTGTCAAGCTTGCACAGTAAGCCTCTGGTAACTCAAGAGCTAGCTGTCTTCACCACCCTCCTTATTGCTTGATTTTTAAATCCCAAGTAGTTTGCTTGTTGCTCTGAAATCATCCTTTGTGCTGGCTACCCAGAATGGCAAAGCACGTTTCCATAGTGCCTCACGCAGTGTGGAAGGCTGCCAACACACTCAGGCGGCTCAGGACACAGCAACACTGTGTCTGGCCTACAGCAGGGTCTCAGGTTTTACATCTGAAAGCGAGAGTGATCTACACCTGTAATCTCAGAACTTGAGAGGAGGGGGCAGGGTCGTGAGCTAAGAGTCATCTTCAGCCTGGCAGACATGAGACTATGTCTCAAAAAAAAAAAAAAAAAGAAAAGAAAACAAGGTTAAACACAGATCTGATAAAGAAAAGGAACAAGCTTCTACCATGAGGGGTACTTAGACATCAATTAAAGAAGAAGAATTTAGCTTTTACCATGAGGGGGTACTTAAAGTAGTCGCTATCCAAGGAGCACTCTTTGGCAGCAAGCGCCAGGCCTTGTAAAATGGGGATAAAGATCTGTAAGAAAGAGAAGCACAAACATTAGGTGTGAGGAAAAGTTAGCATGCAGGCTCGTCAGACGACCACCAGTCTGTAAGTCCACAGACAGACTGTTACTCCCCTGCCCCCAAGACAAATCGTTTTTCTCAATCCATATAAAAAATTCTATGATTCTTTGGTGCCAACTGGTCCCTCAGGACAACTACCCATTAAGTACAGGAGGTCAACTTTGACGGAGAGGATGGATGCTGATGACCACCAGCACTCTGGCAGGACACACATCCAGCTGGGTACACTGACACCAACAGCAGCCAGCACAGATGGATTGCTGAGGGGTGGGAGGGGTCCCTGCTGGGCTTCCCGCCTGCACACCTCAGCACCACCCCCACCGTGTTGCTGATTAACATACACCTATGATCTGTATGGAAATTACAGTAAGTGTTCCACTTTCTCCTCAAGTCCACCAACACTTAAAAAAAATTGTTTTCCTCTGTTGCATTCAAGTAATTAAGAGCAAGGAGACAGCTGATGAATGTTCAAACTGAAAACTACATTTTTAGTAAGAATGTCTTGCTAATATAGTCACCTGACCAGGAAACAGAAGGGCAGGCAGACTCACAAGGCTGGCACTGACTTGAGAGTGCAAGTCCCGCTGCTCAGCACAGCTCACCTTCGAACTTCACAGTGCCTACTCACCAAGCCACACAATTAGGAGTGGGCTTGCATCTAAGACTAACAACATGGAAGGAAACCATACACAGCAGCTGGCAACGTGAACCACAGCTGTGAAGGGTGCATAGAAGAAATCCACTAGAAACCTGCACCAATCCCACAGGCCTCAAAGCTCATGCTTTCCACCTCAGGGAACTTTCAGCACAAAAGACACGGGATGGATGCCTGCGGAGCACAGTGAAGTAGCACAGCAGCGCTTGAAGGGAGCATTCTGGTTTCCGTAACTCAATTAAACAGGGTGGATGTAATTTGTGCTTTCGTAAGCAATTTGAAAGTGGGGAGTAACACTCAGCACGGGGGCAGGAGATGACAGAACTGCAATCAAGAAGGCAAAACAAAGTTCTAGAATCACACAGATAAACGCCATTAACTGTCCATCAGAACAATCTTTAAATATGTCTTAAGAAATACTCTAAACTTTAGTCTTTTTAGTAGAGTTATCCTCTTGTGTAAGTAAGAGCTTAACTGATAATAAACAGGCAAAATATGAATAAGCATAAAATGCTTCTATCATCAAGGGTTCTATTTTGACATTTAGTCTTACTGTGTTCGTATGGCGTGCTGTATGATCAGGTGTGTGCACACATACATGTAGACATGGAGGACAACTTTCAGGCGTCGGTACTCTCCCTCCCTTGTGGGCTCAGGAACTTAACTCAGGTCATCAGGCTTGTGAAGCAAGCATGTCTACAGAGACAGCTTGTCTGCCTAGGCATCATATTATTTTTGTGACCTGCATATTGCAAGTAATTCTTTTATTTCTGAGTAAGAACTTCCCAGTGCAGATAAAAGCTTCAACTACTAATCTTCAGCCACAGGGAGATGTGGGAGAGACGCTTCCCACTCCCCTTCTTAGTCAGTTCCTTTTCAGCATATACTACTTATGTATGGATTTCATGAGGGCCTTTTTGTTTTAAGATTTATTTATTTTTATTCATATGAGTACACTGTAGCTGTCTTCAGACACACCAGAAGAAGACATCAAATCCCATTACAGATGGTTGTGAGCCACCATGTGGTTGCTGGGAATTGAACTTGGGACCTCTGAAAGAGCAGTCAGTGCTCTTAACCACTGAGCCGTCTCTCCATCTCCTCATGGTGGCCTTTTCATACATGCACATGAATCTGTATTTACCACCCTCACCCCATTCCAAGCCGGCATCTCCTCCCCATGGCATTTATCCTCCTCCTCTTAACTAGTCACTTGGCTACTTTCAGGCCCTGACCCACTCCCTCCCTTCCTTCCTCCCTCCTTGTCAGGGGCAGCCCTGCTTATATGCTGAAGGCCTAAAGTCAGCCATAGGCCTAAAATCAGCAATAGACCTGTCATACATACCTGCAAACACAAAGTCTTGGGTCTCTGTGGAAAAACACTGAAACAGATGACTAGAAGCTATTGTAAACAAGCAGCTTTGATGGAAAATTGCCAGGCTGAATAGTCACAGATCTTGTAGCTAGGTAACCTTGGTGGATAGTACCAACTTAGATAAGGACAAATGAATCATAGGCGGAGTCATAGTGATCTCTCCCCTGAACCTTCACCCATCTGACACTCTGTTCTGGAAGATATCTGTACTCCCCTTGAACACCTATGTTCCTGCATCATCCCCTTCCCCACGTCCTGCCTTTTTGTGTATATAACCCGTTAGAAAAAAAAAAAAAATTACGGTTTGATCAGACTATAGACAAACAGTGATTCTTTGCCTGTCCCCGTCCCTCCCCCCCCCCCGCCCTCTTTCAGGTGACCTCCCCGGACCCCTGTTTAATGCCCTGCTGGACAGGACACCTCCTGTTGACTCAATGAGTTTACTTAGTGGCTGCTCACAGAAGCATGGTGAGAGGTTTTTCATAGGAGCATGGGACCTCACCACTGGCTGTATCACTCAGGAAGGTATCTATCTCTCCAGCCCACAGCCACCACTAAGTTCATGGGAGGGGTGGAGCTTCATGAGTCTCTCCCCTACCCCATGACATGGTGTATCTAGACAGCAGAGAGACACTTAGCTAAAAGCTGGAGTATACCTGCTTGAACACCTCTTCATCCTGGTGAGTGGTCCTCACCAGCTCTTGAATGAAGCCGTACGGGAGATTCCTGCAGAGCATGTACGGCACGAGGAAGGACGGCTGTTGCAAGGACCTGCAGGGGCACGAAAAGCAAGGGCTGTGATGGGAGCGTGTGGATGCTAAGCCACACGGGCCGCCCGTCATGTGAACACAGACCTACCAAACGTGCTGGACAACCATTACTTAGGCAAAGTATGACCCTGCAGACACTGGTGACATCTGGCCTTTTAAAGGAGACGTCAGTGGAAACTGCAAAGACAACAAGTCTTTCTGAATGAAGCACTAGGGCTTGGAGGTGCTTCAGTGTCCGGCCACTTGTCTAGCATATGCACGGCCCGGGCAGGATCCTCAGCAATGGGATAAGTGACGCATGAAACTCAGTTATGGGACCGGAAAGACAGCTCGACGGTAGAGAGCACTGGCTGCGCTGGCAGAGGACCTGTTTTCTTTGATTCCCAGCACCCTTGTGGTGGCTAACAATTGTTTGTAACTCCAGTTCCAGGAGATTCATCATATCTTTCTAACCTCTAAGCCCACCACAAGCACATGGTATGCGTGTGCACACACGTGCACACACATGCACACACACACACACACACACACAGGCAAAATGCCCAAACACATAAGTCAATCTAATTTTGTTAAATAAAAAATAATCCTCGCCGGGCGGTGGTGGCGCACGCCTTTAATCCCAGCACTTGGGAGGCAGAGGCAGGCACATTTCTGAGTTCGAGGCCAGCCTGGTCTACAGAGTGAGTTCCAGGACAGCCTGGGCTATACTGAGAAACACTGTCTCGAAGCCCCCCCCCCCCAAAAAAAAAAAAAAAACCCAAAAAATAACAATCCTCATTTATTTATGTCTCATCTACATTGAGGGGAAAAAAAATTAGCCATAATCTCTTTCAAAGTCTTTTTCTTCTTCTGTTACTTGGTTTTGTGGGGATTTTGTTGTTGTTTGGTTTGGTAAGGTTTCTCAATTGGTGGCATCAGCAGCAGTGTCACACGCCTTTAATCTCAGAACTCGGGAAACAGGCAGGTGGATCTCTAAGTTTGAGTCTAGCCTGCTTCTACATAGCCAGGACAGCCAGAGCCACACAAGGAAACCCTGTCTCAAAAAACAAGCAAACAAAAACAAAACAAAACAAAAAAACAAACCACCACCAACAACAACAAAAATTCCAAGGTTGTCTGGGTAGCCTTGGCTGCCCTGGAACTAACCGTGTGAATCAGGATGCCTCTGCCTTCCAGGTGCTGAGAATAAAGGCAGCGCCATTACATCCAGCTTAGTTAGCTGGATTTTAAAGACAAGGTTTTACTACGGAGCCCAAGAAGGTTCAAACTAGCACTAGCACGCTACCCTACCTAGTTCTCTCGAGTTCTGGGATTACAGACATGTGGTGCTATATGGCCTAATTTTCTTCCATTTTGAAAAGACTAAAAAGTGTACGGCTATAGTATAGGCAATAACCAAAATGAAAAAAAAATCCAATTTTTTCCATTTTTCCTTTAGCTATTTTTACACAACAGACATGAAATATAGGGATGGAGAAAGGTGACGTCAGTGGGTAAGAGCACTGATGGCTCTTCCAAAGGACCTGGGTTCAATTCCCAGTACCGACATGGAGGCAATCATTGCTAACTCCAGTTGCAGGGAGATCAAGTGCCCTCTTCTGGCCTCTATGGCCACCAGGCATGCATGGGATACACAAATATACAAGCAGAAAAATACCCATACACATAAATAAAATTTTGTATTGTCTTGTTTTTGTTTTTCGAGACAGGGTTTCTTTGGGTGGCCCTGGATTGTCCTGGAACTCGCCGTGTAAACTGAGCTGACCTCAAACTCACGGAGTTCACCTGCCTCTGCCCCACAAGTGCAAGGATGGAAGGAGTGTGGTACCCCTCCACCCCTGGCAAAAAAAAATTGTTTTCAAATGAAAAATGCAATCTTTTATTAACCTTGGACTATACAGGCCAGACTGGCCTTGTACTGGTGGTGATCCTCCTGCCTCGTATGTGCCTCCTCACCTGGTCTGGCCCCCACCCCCACCCCCCAACTGTTCTCTAATACCTAGTAACAGTTAATCAATCCAGAAATACAGGGAATGTGGTTATTTTGTCAAAAACAGCTACTACGTCCAGATGCTGGGCTTTAAATTAAATTATCAACATTCTGCCTTGTCTCTACATATTTAAAGTATAAGAGAACTCTGAAAATATAAATAACTTCTTTTTAAGAATGTTCTGTACTACTTAGAAGATGAAGGAAACATTTTATTTCCACAGTTTTCAAGAGGAGGAAATGCACCTCTACTTCCACAGATGTATTTATTTTCATCTTATGTTTTTCCTACATATATGTTTCTGTATCATGTCACATGTATACAGTGGTCAAAGAGGCCAGAAGGGGGTATCAGATCTCTTGGAATTGGGGTTACAGATACTGTGTCCCGCCATGTGGATGCTGGGAATTGAACCCACCCAAATCCTTGGCAAGAGTAGCCAGTGCTCTTAACTCTGAGCCATCTCTCCAGCCTGAGCTCTGAGGACTGAGACACAGTCACAATACAGGACTCAGAGTTATCAACGTGGTGTAAAACAACTGGCACTTGATAGGTACTGAGAGCTGGCTCTCCCTACCTACCTACCTGAGAAGCACAGCAGCAAAAGCGTCAGCATACCTGGGCTGTGTAAGGGACCCTTGTAGCACAAGCGCGGTGTGGGAGATGCACTGCGAGCGGATGTTACTCAGAAGCTGGCTGACTGCTGGCTGGCTGCACATCTGAGAAAAGAGACAACAGTCAGCATAAAGAACTGAATAGGTCAGGAGGAGAGTCATGACGCAAAATGGCCTGCTTCCCTCGCCCTGGGCTCTAATGGGCAGAGTAAGGCAGCTTGCATCACCACCTGTACGGAGGTCAATCAGAGACGACAGAGCAGAGCCATGGGGCACACCCGTTCCATTTCCTTTTGGGGGAGTTATGACACCCACTGAAGCAGAGTCTTTCGTATAGTAGCCCAGGTGGATTTCCATCTATAGCAATCCTCCTGTCCCAGACTCCCAGGGTACACCCCGACACCTAGCATTGCTTTGCTTTTGCTGAGATTAAGGACAACAGTTTCTAACATAACCGTCAGACTGGAATTAGACCGTGAAATGTGAATGAGGAGATAGGGAATGAGAGAGTGGAAGGTACTGTGCGTGGCTGTGCATGCCTCCATCCCAGCTGCCAGATGCAAGTGGATCTCTGTGAGTTCAAGGCCAGCCTGGGCTACACAGTAAGACCCTGTCTCAAAAAGTGGTTGGGGAATGCTACTTCCTTGGCTTAGCATGGTCCTGCAGGTTATCCAACTGCAGCTTCACCTCTGCGGAGTGTCTCTCACTCACGAGGGCTGCAGGGACTCACTGCGTGAGCTCATGACTGCAACAGTTCCTGCTCTCCATAGCACAGGAGCATCGGATGTCTACATTATCTCAGGCACCTGGCATCACAGTTTCAATATAAATATGTCCCCAGAGGGCTTCTTTTGTTATAGACTTGGTTCCTAGCTGATGGGCATTTTTTTGGGGGGTGAAGGATCACCAGGGCTGTGGCTGTGGTTTCAGCAATGCACTGACTAGCGATACAGTGGAACTGGCAGATAAGGCCTCATGAAAGGAAGCAGGTCAATCAGAGTGTGACTGTGCAGTCTAGCTAGCTCATCCCAGGACTCGTCCACTGTTTTCCTTTGCTTCTCGGTCACCATGACAACAACAATTTAGCTGTACCACAGATGGCTAAAGATGCTCACCATATCCCAGAAACAATGGACTCATGTGATGATGGATTTAAATATCTGTGAGCACAATACATCTTTCTTGCTTTGGGTTTCCTGTACACTCTGTCCTAGCAATGGAAAACTGACACAAGCAGCAATTATCAGGACCATGGGCAACGCGGGCAGACAGAGGAGAGGACTCCTTAGCCAAGGTGCTCCGACTCACAGCGGAGTTCTGGCATAACATCTACATGGAGACGGGGGTTCTACGGGGCTGGATGCCATTCTCACAGACAGGGCCTCAGCCGCTCACACACTGGTACCTAACACCATTCCTGGGCAGGGATCAGCACACGCGTAAGCAGGGTCTGCTGTCGTTTCGGTAAGTTCGCAGTACCTTTGGTGCTTTTTTTTCCTCTATTCCAACTCGGTCAAAGCACTCGATGAGGTAGTTCAGCATGTCTGTCTCTTTGCAGGTCTCAATGGTGAAACGGTCACTGTACGACTCCCAGTTACTTGCTCCAGCACAGGCTCCCAAACTTTGGAGAAGAGAGAACACATTGACAATGCTTTCCTCTTCAGGACCACTTGTAGAGCACAGCTTTCCAGAGCACAGCTGGCCACTCTGCAGCAGAAAGCCGATTAGGAGCCTGCGCCCACGGTGAAGCACAAACCGCCATGCAGCCACACTGCAGCTCACTGCTGCTTTGTCTGCTCCCAGGCCAACCAATGATGTCTGGCAAACATGTTCTAGCCTGTCAGGGGGTGGCTGGCCTTTCTGGGGATGCCAACTTACAAATCAGAAGGACCAGAAACTGCTGTTGAGTGTTGAGCAGCTGGAGTCACTCACAGGTTCATGAGCCAAAAGGGGTGGCATCACTCAGGCAGACACGCGTGGCCACACAAAGCTTTAGTCCCTTCACTTCAGGAGAGCAGCTCTAAGTGACTACTAGGGCACCATTCTCATCCTCAAGCTATCTACACAGATCTGAAGAGACTTCAGTCAGCATCACAACAGGCCAGAAAATGCCAAGTCGGAAGGAGGTACGAGTGGTTTTGCTATTGAATTTTCAAAAATTTCAGTGAACAAGGAAAAGAAGATCAGTGAAAACCAAATAAACAAAAATCTTGCACAAAGAGTATGCTGACTCAGGGTGTGGGCCCAGCTTAGCTTGTTACCTGCAACCAGAACCTCCACCACACCTGCAGGGGGCAGTGTAGAGCCCTGCTACTACTTGTAATAACTAGTCCCAGACAAAGGCCAAGCATCACAATGGTAAGGTCCAGGGATACTAAACAAAGAAGCTGAGGTTAATCTCTAACAGATCAAAAAACAAAATGTATGTTTCATTATCACACACTGATTTTTGTGTTTGTTTTTAACACAAAAATCACAAAGAGATTAAGACAAAGGAAGAAGCACAAAATTCTGAAATAAAGGATAAAAGTTAGGCAAAAATATTACATATGAAAGATGATAAAGATGGGAAGACCTCAGGACCTGACATCTCTCCTTGAACCCCACCCAGACAAAGCACAGGAACTAGACATCTCTCCTTGAACCCCACCCAGACAAAGCACAGGAACTAAGAGACCCAACAAGAACTGAGGTAGCAACAACACACTACACACTCAGAGAGGCATGCATGACTAATTTTGAAAAATGTACGCATAAGTCACCTTAGCATTTGGAGAAATGCGCACATTGGACATGAGAATAGAAGTGGGGTGTGGAGGTGATACGGCGCACAGGAAACCATGCTGCAAAGCCAAGGCTGGCTGGCCCCCAGGCTCTAACAAATCACTGTAATCTAACTCCAGTGTGATAAAAAAAAAAAAAAAAGAAAGAATTTTAAAAAGAAGAAAGGAATGAGGCTGAGGGCAAGCGTAGGGAAGGGCAGGCCACTGAGCTGCAGAGCACCTCCATAGACCCAGGACAAGGTCAGCGAGGTAGCAAGGAGTGTCTGGGTGTGCCTCACTCACCCGCATGCACCTCTGATCCCTGCACTCAGGCAGAAGGGCAGATGCCCGAGATCAGCCCAGGTTTCACAGCCAGACCTATAATCGAGTGTACAGAAGTCTATCCATCATATGCGAGGCAGAACAAAGAGAGAAGACCTAAGGAAGAGCCTAAGGAAATACCAAGGGATTTTCAAAGCTAAGAGATGTTTCATGAATCAGACAGCTAGCAATCAGCTGATTTACATCAGAAGGGACATAAAGGTGAGATGAACCTTTAACCCGACACAGAAATATAGAGAAGATCCTAGATCTATCAGATATTCAAGGTGCCAAAGGAGATCACGATCCCGTCTTGGAAGGGCATTCCCATCAATGCTGTCAACAGTGCAGAGGTGAAAACAACTGTGAAGAGTCTCAGCACATCGAGTCACCTTAGGAACACAGCAGAGGGCCGTCCGCAGCAGTGCTGTGGTCCTGGCTGCTCAGGAGGCTGAGGAAGGATGACCACACAGCAGACCCTCACCCTCCACACTAAATAACTTGCTCACCTGTATTCCTCATGACAATTGCACATCTCTGACATCCTAAAATCCTGGAAATGGTTCACATTTAAGTCCCAAGAAGGGATGGCTTAAAAACTTACACCAGCATTTAAGAAGACGTAAGACACTTTCTAATAACTACATCTGAGTTAATCAGATAACTACCTCATATAACAGGAATGTAACAGAACATTCCCAAACAATGAAAATATTCTCAAAAATAACATGCACCTCGTCCTCAGACTGAATTACATTTCAAATGTACCAATAACAAACATCTGCTTCTTAAAGGGTCCAGTGTCTTTCCTTATCCAACAGGAATACTCACATTTCCATCTACCAGGCATGTTCTCTGTGTGTGTGCATGCATGCGAGCTCGTGTGTATGTGTGTGTGTGTGTGTGTGTGTGTGCGCGCGCGCGCGTGTGTCTGAGTGTGTTCACCACTGAGTGCTGTTCCCTCAGGAGCTGTCTATCCACTTTACATCTTGAGAAAACCTCCCTCGCTGACCTGGAGCCCACTGAATGCATTGGACGAATAAAAAGCCAGGCAGGGAGATCCTCCCGCGGCTAGTGTCTTCTTCCTCGCCGGCACTCAAACCACACCCGTGTGCCACATGGCCAACTTTGTTTTAAGCAGATCTAGGGTCCAAACCCAGGTTCCCAGGCACGCACCCTGCCTCAGCCATCTCCCAAGCCTCCCATTTACCAAGCTTTCTAACTATAGACCCTTGGAATTCTGTATTGTCTCAAGCTAAGGCCCAGAGTTAGTCAAGATGAGTCACTCTACAAATGTGCACACTGGGCCTGCTGTGCTCTGTGCACCACGGATGGTTCAAGGGCTCGACAAGGAATGACACAGATGAAAGCTGTTAGTCTCTAAAACTCCAACAAGCAAAAACAAATTAGCATCTAAGTGCAACACAGTGAATAAAGGCGGAAACTGGGTGTGGCGCAGCACTCGGGAAGTTATGTGGACTGGACAAGTACACGAGCAGGCATGGGACCAGTGTGTCGACTGTCTCTTATGTTTAACACACTCTGTCAGACAGTAGACAAGCCTGAGGAGATGGCACTAGAGCTCAAGCCTGAGGAAAGTTAGTGGCAAACCACGCAGCTCTCTGGGACGTGAGTCCTCAGAGCCTTAGAGCGGTGTGACAAGACAAGCCATCCCTTACTGACTCTTCCCTGAGAGCAGCCACTCTTTCCACAGAAGGAATTTTCCTTGCCCCGCCCCTTTTCCCATATTTTTAAAAAAATTACATTTATTCATGTATTGTGTATTTGTGTGTGCATGCGTGTGCGTTTGTGCACGTGTGTGAGCATGTGTGTGTGTGAACATGTAAGTGTGTGTGTGCATGTGACACAGTACAAGTGTGGAAATAAGAAAATTCTCAGAAGTCAGTTTTCCCTTTCTCCTTCCACTAAGTGTGTGGGTCCTTGGATCAAACTCAGCTTGTCATGCTGGTCCTTCCCAAGAGTATGTGCTCGTAACTGCTGAGCCATCTCCCCAGCCCACAAGCCTTTATCTTTAAGTCTAGAGTCTACATATGAGGGGGAAAGTGGTATTTGTCTTTTTGGGCCTGGCTTACTTAATAAAACGATCTGTAGGTATTGAAGTCCTTGCACAACATGACCTCTGATGATCCTCAGACAAGGAGTGTCTTCAAAGTTGTCAGCATATAAGCCCTTTACCTGAGAGGCAGTTCTATTCCAAGATGATTTATTTCTTACCTCTGTAAGACTACTCTGAGGGACAACTTTCTAGCTTTTTTTTTCTTAACATGATCATTCTATTATACAGAAAAATGACTCATTTTCCTGTATCCCGTGACTTCACTTAAAGTGCTAGTAAACCTTGCAGTGTTCTAGTAGGGCCCTTTAATATTGATCACAGAGATGGAGAGATTGTTAAAGGTATTTGTTGTTCTCACAGAGGACCCAGGTTCGGTTCCCAACACCCACAATGGCTGCTCACAACCATCTCTAACTCCATTTCCAGGGCCTCCAGAAGCACCTACACGCTTGTAAGTGCACATAGATACACTACACGGTTGTAAGTGCACATAGATACACTCAGGAACATACACATAAAATAATAAATATAGTCCTAAGAAGCTACAGAATCAGGCTGAGGAAATGACTCAGGGATAAAGCACACTAGCTGCTCTTCCAGAGGACCCAAGTTCAATTCCCAGCACTCTCAAGCTAACAACTATTAACAACTGTCTATAAATCTAGACCCCAAGGGTCCAAGGGAGCCTTGCAGCAATGCAGACAAAACAACCTTACACGTAAAATAAATAAAATAAGATATATCTTTAAAAAAAAAAAGAAGAAGAAGAAGAAGAAGAAGAAGAAGAAGAAGAAGAAGAAGAAGAAGAAGAAGAAGAAGAAAAGAAAAATATAGAACCACATCTTCTATACATAAAGACTTCAGGGAACAGTGATGGCGCACACCTTTTATCCCAGCACTGAGCAGGCCAGAGGCAGGTAGATCTCTGAGTTCAAGGCTAGCCTGGTCTACAGAGGGAGTTCCAGGAAACACTGTCTCAAAGCAAAGCAAAACAAAACAAAGAGATAATTCTTTCTTATTTGCAGCCGATTATCTCTCTGCTTGAGCTCTGATTGCTCTGGCTAATAATTCCAATGTTACAAGACATCCTCAGCTCCGTAAAGTTATCCCACAGGTAACTCAAAGCAAAACATATGTCTGCTGTGTGAAATGTAGTCACACAAGATTTTACAGGCACACATACATACACACACACAAAACAAAAAACAAAACAAAAAAAACCAAACCTCCCTCCACTCAAAAATATAACAAGTTCTTTTGCTGTCTCCTGCTGCCCTGACTTCCATGTCTCCTCAAGTTCTCTATTTGTTTAGTGTTATATGTTCTGTGACATCGTCATACACTTTATCTGGAATCTACACAGAATCTACACTAGACAAGCCAGATCAGCTCATTTCAATGTAGCCAAAGAAGCTCTTGCCAACTGATACAAATGTAACCTTGTGACTGAGCCTAAAGAGAGCAGCCCCTCTGTCCAAGAACAGAAGAGACACAGACAAACGGCTGGAGCAGCAGAGATGGGAAGACGCACTTAAAGGCCGCAACAGTCCAGGGTAGAGGTGCAGAGCCTGAGCTCAGGGTTCCCACTTCTCCAGTCTCAGCCCCAGCACAGAGAGAGCGCAGGCACAATGCTGAACAACCATCCTTACACAATCACACTGCAGCTAGTAAGCACAGAACCTGGAGCTCAGGTAAGGCTGGACACCAGGAATCTAGAAAGAGACGTGTTGGTAAAAGCAGCATGTGATTAAACAAAACATTTCACCCACAGATACCTCAAACCGAAACAAATTAAGTATTTTACCATGTATGGACACCATTCCTGTGGACATCTGCTGTGGTGAACTGTCATCACACAGACTTTACAGGCACAGTTGCCCTTTGGAGATATTTGCTTGGGAAACAGTAATAAAATATTCAACCTAATACAAACATCAGTCTTTTGGGATCAATAGCACCCTGCGTCAACCTTCTTCTCTCTCGTCAGTAGCTGTCAAACTCAATGAAGCTCACCTAGCTCCCTCTGCAGCCGCTATTCATAGCCTGGAGAAATTTGTGAACAGTACTGGACACAAACCCTGGTTCCAGAGGGAATTTCAGTTGAAGATGTAGAAACAAAGGGTCATTAAATTTGTGTGACCAAAATCATCTGGAAATGCAGTTATTAACCCAGTTTTCAGGGTGAGGGGCATTGAGTGGCCCCAGAAACAAAAGGCCACTGCTTCATTGAGACTCAACTGATGCTCAAGGAGACTCAAGGTCAGATGTGAGAGGAGAGTCCCAGTTACACTGGAGAGGATGGAAGAAACGGCCTCACCCCCGATCCCATTGCTGTCCCTCAGTATCTACAAGCTGCCCGACCAAACTCAGGAACACACTCTCGATGGATCGATGGTGTGTGTGTGTGTGTGTGTGTGTGTGTGTGTGTGTGTGTGTGTGTGTACACGCTTGCTTAAGGCTGAATGGCAGTCAATCTCTTTTCAGGCTTTTGACAGGTGACTCAGATAAGTTTTTTTACCAGTTTAATGACCTGTACTATGTGTCACTCCTTCCCAGTGTGAGGTCCTCGCCCTTGAGTGCACACTCGCTATGCACGCTCGCTAGCCTTCCTCAGTTAACACTGCCGTCTGGACTCAGAGCAGAGAGCCTAGCAGCGCTTGCTAACGTTAGCCCCTAAGCACCTAAAGCACATGCAGGGTAAGACTCCAGTCTGCTGATACCTGGACCCAAACTGGACACAAGAAAAATCATCATCCTCATCACCACCACCTTCATCCTCCTCCTCATCATCTTCTTCTTCTTCATCACTACTGTCCCCAGAAAGTTCGAGGAAGAGGAAGGAGAAGGGACTGTCGTACATACTACCACAACAAAAGCAAAAAAGGTCATCAGGGAACAGAGGAAAGAGGGAGACAGGAGGAAGCTGCTGCTGCAGGCTGTCATTTAAAGTAAACTTCACACTCAGAAGCTGTACGCACTGACATGCAGCAAACACAACTGCCTGAGTTACAGAAACACACAGGGACATTTGAAAAGGGGGGTCACTGGATTCCTGGGCTGCTGCTGCTTTCTGAGAGACTGGAACTACATGCAATCAGACATCAAAACATAAATGCGTGACTCACAGAAAGAGCAGACACTGGCCCAGTCCAAAAAGGCATCCTGTGAGCCCCGATTCTCAAAACACTGACCACAGTCTCCGAGGAAGGACCCACAGACTACAAGAGGGAAGAAGATGCAGTTCTTTGTTTTTTGTGCAGACGACAGGAGGGGAGGGAGAGGGAGGAGCATACAACACTGCAGTCTTCACTTCCTCGTGGACCAAAGCCTGCTAGGATCATGGTGGCAGGGCGCATGCCCACCACAGCTAGTGAGCGACACAGGTTAATAACCCAGCGACTCCCAGAATTCAACTGAGGTCAGTGCCACACAGCAGTTCTTTCCAAACCATGTTAATTTCCTCTCCCTGCACTGCAAACACACACGCAGCTCTCCTGCAAATAAATACCTAGGGGAGATCCGCAGGGAGGAGGGACGTCTGCCGGCAGCACTGGGCGAGGCAGGAGGGAAGGCAGAGACCCTGCTGCGGGGCCTCTGTCTGGAGGAGCTGGCAGGTACTGCCCGGGGACTACTTGCCTGGGCAGGGTAGCCTGGGGAGTTAGCCAGAATGGAGGATCGTGGGGTGGGGGAAGGTGAAGACCCCCACGGGTGCGTGACAGTGTAGGGCCGATACCTCGGGGATGAGGGCTGGCTTCCGGCAGCAATTCCAGAAGCTGTGCTTTGAGGGCTGAGGGATGGGGAAGGCACAGCTGCCCGTGGGGCTGCACTGTGGGGGCTGAGGGACGGGGAATGCACAGCCACCCGCGGGGCTGCACTGTGGGGACTGAGAGTTGGGGAAGGCACAGCCGCCCGCAGGGCTGCACTGTGGGGGCTGAGGGATGGGGAAGGCACAGCCACCTGCGGGGCTGCACTGTGGGGACTGAGGGATGGGGAAGGCACAGCCGTCAGCGGGGGTTCACTGTGGGGACTGAGAGTTGGGGAAGGCACAGCCCTTTGCGGGGCTGCACTGTGGGGGCTGAGGGATGGGGAAGGCACAGCCCTTTGCGGGGCTGCACTGTGGGGGCTGAGGGATAGGGAAGGCACAGCCCTTTGCGGCGCTGTGTGGGAAGGTGAGGCAAAGGATGGGCTGAGCACTGGCACAAAGCTCCATAAACTGGCAGAGGGGGCAGGACTCGGTTCATAGAGGCTGAGTTAGATGAGAGAGGGAGGGAAGAAAAAAAAAATAAAAGAAAAACTTGAGATAACTAAAAATGGATACTGTCAGCTTTTAAAGGATAGTACATTTATACTACACACACTAGGAATTTAAGTAGACAAGCATTTGAAAAATGACCAGAATCTAATTGCTCGGCTCATGCAGGTGACCCCTTTCAAAGAACACTGTAGCACACAGAGCCACGTGTGTCTAAAATTTAACCGACCTAATCACAGAAAGCTATGAAAATCAGTCAAGGAATGGTAAAGCCACATCCAATGGCCACGCCCCCTCCACCCACATGTCTGCGACCAGATCAACACTGTGAATCGCACTCCTCGGCATCTGTCACAGCTGGTTTACCACCAGTGAGACAACAGAGAATCGCACTGACCTAGACAACGAGCTGGCGCTGAAGGAGCCCAAGTTGCAGAACATGGGGCTTGTTCCTGAACTGGAGCCAGTGTTCAGTATGAGACTTCTGTCTGGTGACCGAGCTGCCGTGGCAATGGGCTGGGATGTGGCTGTCAGACTGGCAAATGGGTTTTCATCTCGTGTCTGGGAGGACATCATCAGCACTTCCATTAAAATCTGCCCAATCAGATCCTTAAAGTCAGAGAACACTGTTGGGGAGGCAGAGTAAAAGGCAGGTTATTCACAGGCCCTCATTTACACAGTCCTCTAATAAGCCAACTGAGCCAGATTCCATGTGCTGTGAGCTGGAATGGACTCTCAACAGTGAAAGGATTTTAGCTGAAACCAAAAAAGTTCTCGTGTGCTTCCCAGTAACTTCTTTTATACTTATTTGTGTCTGTGTGTCTGTGCACATCGCCATGCAGAGCAGGACAACTTTCAGTCAAGTTAGAGGGCAGTCGGGGGGCGGGGGGGGGGGCACTGCTGATAAATGTTCACTGTAAAAGGGAACCAGTCCCCACTAGAATGGCCCTCACTGTACCACAGCAAACGCAGTGCCGCAGCTCGAGTTTCTCAGCCAGCACACACTTTAGAGTCCAAGGCTCCACACGGAGCCACCATCTGATTTCTGAAGCAGATTCTACCGTCTGGTTCCCTTCTCATTCTTTGCAGATCTGCTGTTAGTCTTTGAGCACATTCTGGACTAAAGCCCTGACCCATAGCAGTTCACATGGTTAGAGCCTGTCTTAGTCAGGGTTTCTATCCCTGCACAAAACATCATGACCAAGAAGCAAGATGGGGAGGAAAGGGTTTATTCAGCTTACACTTCTACACTGCTGTTCATCACCAAAGGAAGTCAGGACTGGAACTCACACAGGGCAGGAACTTGGAGGGAGGAGCTGATGCAGAGGCCATGGAGGAATGCTGCTTACTGGATTGTTTCCCTTGGCTTGCTCAGCCTGCTTTCTTATAGAACCCAACACTGCCAGCCCAGGGATGGCACCACCAACAGTGGGCCCTCCCACCCTCGATCACTAATTGAGAAACTGCCTTACAGCTGGATCTCATGGGGCATTTCCTCAAGGGAGGCTCCTTTCTCTGTGATAACTCCAGCTTGTGTCGAGTTGACACACGAAACCGACCAGTACAAAGCATTAGAGATTACCACTGATGTGTACAAGGGCGTTGTAAGATATGAGACCCTTAGAGCTGGGAGCAGGAGTATCTAGTGGCAAGTCTTTAAAACCTAAGGTGCTCAGCTCTTCACAGTTACACGTACTAAGAGGCTATCCCAACAAAAACCCACCCACCTTCCCGGAACACAGAAATAGCACTCCCTCACAGAAGACGGGCCAAATGGAAAGGGAACAGAAACTAACAGTGACTGCCTCAGTGAAAACACATCTTACACAAAACACCTCCGTAAACACCAGGGACACACATCAACGGGCAGAAAGGCAAACGTTCCCACAGCCGAGACAGCTGCGTGATGTGCCAGTGATGTGGAACTCAAAGCACAAGCCCTGCGGCACACTGATGACCTCCACTGCAAACAAGAAAGTAGCAGACAGCCACAGTGCCCAACAACACTGTGTCCTACAAAACACTTTAGTATTTTAAGTATAGTTCAACATAGCTAACCTCTTAAAACAGAAGCCTAGGAGGACAACAAAATACAATCATATTCTATTTTGCTAAGTAATTTAATAAAAGGATCTTGCTCGACTGTCTACAAATCACCTGGTAAGCATTCAGATCCTAGAAGATGAATGACGTGCAGAAAGCAGCTCACTGCACTGCAGCTGAGGTCAGCTCACTACAGCTGCTCGTGGGCAGCTGTCTGAGTCTCAGAACCCGCCCAGCACGCTTCTACTCTCCAGGAGCTGATGCTCTCTCAGAGTGTCTTCTACCATAAAGGAAAACTCCCCACCCAAAACAGGGAAAACCATTCATTTATTTAGTTTTTTTTCTGTAAAATCACATATTGGAGCTGGTGAGATGGCTCAGCAGTTAGAAGAGCTTGCTGCTCTTCGAGAGGACCCCACCTCAGTTCCCAGCGCCCATACTGGGTGCCTCACAACCATGAGTAACTCCAACTCCCTCCAGGGAGGGCTCTAATGCTCTCTTCTAGCCTCCAAAGCAATAAAATCAGGGAAGAAAGTGACCACAAACACAGCTGTGTCCCCACCAGAAGCAGCCCCGTAACAGGTACTGAGTCCTACAGCAAGAGGACAGAGAGCCACACAGCCTCACATCCTGTGTGCAGTTGCTCTGACAAAGTGTCCCACCTTCTTTTGGGTTCTGTTTAAACTGCGCAGAGAGAGAAGAAAGGAAGATAACATCTCTGTCGCGGTCCTTCCAGGAGACTCGGAAGATCTTACAGACCAGCTGTAAGGCCTGCTCTTCAGACACCTCAGGACCTGAAGAAGGCTCCTAGTGGAGAGGATATTACAGTTAATATGTAATAGAAGACACTCATTAAAACATTTTATTCCAATTTAATTCATTTATTAACAAGGATATTTTTAAATGCATAAAACCATCCAGCCAGTCAGGTGACACAGTAAACGCAAGGCCAGCCTGGTCTACAAAAAGCAAGTCTCAAGTCATGCAGAGTTACATGTGAGATTTTGTGGATGGGGGAAGTTGCAAAATCAGTGTCTCATGAAGCTGACGTCCTCATTCATGGGACAGCATAAACGAGCAAAGGCATGAAGAGGAATGAACAGGAAAACAGAGGCATGGGCGTGTATACATCCTAGCCACTTGCTGTGCTGAAGGAGTACAGAACTCTCTAGAGAGAGCCAGGGTCATGGTGTTGGCATATAACCACTTTCCTTCAAGGATTTCTTACAAACATTAACACTTCTCACTGATTATCACATAAAAGAAACATGAAAGCCGGGCAGTGGTGGCGCACGCCTTTAATCCCAGCACTTGGGAGGCAGAGGCAGGCGGATTTCTGAGTTAGAGGCCAGCCTGGTCTACAGAGTGAGTTCCAGGACAGCCAGGGCTACACAGAGAAACCCTGTCTAGAAAAACCAAAAAAGAAAAAAAAGAAAGAAATATGAAGAACTCTATGAATCAAGACCATCTGGAGGCTAAGGTCCAACTTCTGACAATCACCAGCATGTCACCAAAGCTTTCCTGTCAACTTCCTGAATGGAAGATGGTATACTAACCATCGCCATTGTGACACCCAAACCCAAGCCACCCGAAGTTAGGGAACAAAGCTCGGATGAGAACAAACACAAAGGGCTCCCTGAGTTTTTACTTCCTGGAGACTTAAAATATCTTTGCTTTAATTATTTCAGAATACACCAAAGATATGATTTACTGCCTTAGAAGAAGAACCACAAAAGTCAGTTTTAGTGATGAAAACATGGACCCAGCCAGTCATGGCAGTGTGTCTTCAATGCCCACACCGAACAGACACACAGATCAGGGAGCAGTCTGGTCTCGGTAGGGAGTTCCAGGCCACCCAGAGCTAAACAGTAGGATTCTCTCAAGAAAAGCCCAAACCAACCAAACGACCACAAAAACATGCAGCCAACCCAAGCAGAATGGAGGGATTTCACTGTACAAAAGGGCTGAGTTCTGCTGGCCAGTTCCAAGCCAGCTTGTACAAATGCTCTGGCCTAGCAGAGCTACAGCACTGAGAAGCAAAGTGCCCTTTGCCCCACACTGACCTTGTCACTCAGGCTACGTTTTTCTCTTCGGTCGTTCTCGTCCACCTCCATATTCTCGATTCCCGAATCCACATCCACCTGGGACATGCTTTAAATACAGAAGACAGACATGTCTTTCACCTTTTCCGAAACTGCCAGCATCAAGGATCCATCAGCACTGGTCAGGAAAGCACAGTGACACTGGTTCCCCCAACCCCATCTTCTGTACGTCTAACAGTTCCTCCCAAACTGGCAGCACACAAGCATTCTGTTCGTTACGTGCTGCAATCGTTTTTCCCAAGGTATCATTTCCTTGGGCTCACTTTCAAAAACGGAGAAATCAGCAGAATGGATTTTCAGGACAAGCTATTTTTACACAATGCAGAAGGTAAGCGTCTTCACAGCACTGACTGTCCAGCACATGCACTCGGGCACCCACCACTCTGACACTGAGAACACTGTTATGCCATGTCTCACTTTCACAGATGTGTGGGGTTTGCGGCAGTCACTTCTGTCTACAGCATTCACCGTGTCACCAGCTGACTTGCTTACGGTTTTGACTCTGGTAGCTTTAGGCCTGTAGGGTATGTAAAGCTCTGAACTTTTCATTAGATCACGGCTGCTGGCTGCACTGCTTCATCTGTATGCTTAGTCACCTTCATCCTCTCCTCCATTGAGTTCTGGCTAGAAGAGGCATGTCTGAAACCCTCAAGGATGGTTTGAGATGTGGCAATTGCTTGCTAGAGCTGTCAGCCTTCGCTTGTACAACACGCTGATGGTGGATTACTAAGTGTGCACATATTTGGAACAGCCACAGCTACTGATAAACTCGACATCATCCCAGAACGCTTCCTTCTAACCACTGGAATTGGGTTAGAAGACACACAGCAGTCCGTGAGTTCCCTTCACTCATCTCACTCAATACTACAAGATCAAACGTTTCCTAAACGACTCACAAGTTGCACAGTGCACGCTGCTGAGCGGCATGGTGAGCTCCTGCACCCTGCTCCACTCTGCAGGCAGGGAGTCCTCCCTGTGCCTGGCTCATCTGCACGGCACATGCTACCTGCTCACTGGTCACTTGGTAGCTCAAGTAACTCTTACTTTACTCAACAGTGGTTCCTAAGTCCAGGAGTGGTGACACTGAGGAAGCACTAGGTCCTTAGATATGGAAGGAGACATTTCTGGTACTACATGGTGGGGCTCCAGGATGAGAAACTGTTAATTTTTTTTTTCCAATAATAAAGAGTTTGAGGGTGCCTGTGGTAATCACACCCTTCCTGGCTTCCCTGCTAGGGCTGTTCAGTATCCCAGCGCAAGCTCATGTTTTTGACTTCTGTCAGATCCCGCTACCGTCTATTCACAAGTATCTTGTGTTCATTATGAGGGCATTTATTTTTTTAGCCACTCATACCTTACGTCTAATAGAAGACATTTGGAATTAGAACTCAAGTTCTATGGAAAGACAATACCTGCCTATAACTGCTGAGCGACCTCTCTAGCGCATAAGACACTTGGCACTAACAAATATATAAACAACATACAGAACAGAAAATACTTCAACTTAAGAATGAAGTCTGGATTCAGTTTGATAAGAATATGGCTCTCTGGGTTATCATTTCAGACAGCTAGGCTAGAGACTAAAGAGTGAAGACTTCTCTTCCTGCAAATAGGACAGACAGCGAAACCAGGGAGCATCAGGTTACCTTTTCTCACAGGAAACACCGTCAATATCCATGCTCTGGGAGCGTGACAGGGACTGAGACTGCGTCTCAAGACTGTTGGAAGGGGAGCTGCTCAGAGAACTGACGCCCTCGCTGCTCTGGCTCCGATGGGCAACTCCTATACAGGAGAGAGAGAGAGAGAGAGAAGCCACGTGACACAATGCAGGCCCAAGAGTGAAGGCAGCAGTAACACAGGTGCCCTTAGAATGCTTGTCAACGAAGATTTCTGTCAGATGACCCCAGGACTGTTACTAAGAGATCAAGATTTATCACTGTGCATCACGTAAGGTCAGCAACAGAGCTACACATGATGCCCGGAGACAACTCACCGCCTCTCCTTCAGCAGCTCCAACTGTAGCCTGGTCTTTGCTACTTTGTGGGGCTTTCCCTACCCTTTATCTCCCTGGAGTTTCATCCTCACCACTAGATGGTAGAGAAAGGGGAGAGGGGAGAGAGAGAGAGATCTCTGAATTCAATTTCTTTTCTTTCGTTTCTTCTAGTAATAAAAAGCATCAACCCTCCACCCCTAAAGACCAACCCCCAAAAGCTGCCTCTCAGACGCCCTCACATTTATATACCTGCTGACAAGTTCCCAGAATTCCAAACGTCATACCACAGAAACTATCCATAGCTGGCAAAACCAGGCCTCTGCTAGAGCACGAGGCAAATCACAGTCAGCTCCTGCAGACAGTCTGAAGCAGCCCTACAGATATCCCCACACCTCCAATTCAACTGAAAGCACATTCTTATAATATTTCTATGCTTTTTAAAGAAACCACAATCTCAGAATTGTTGCTACAATGCCCCTGAACACAATTAGGTTTTGTCACAGTACAGAAAGTTCTTGTTTTTTTATAGTCACTAGTGCTTGTGGCTGAAGTCTTTACCCTGTTAGCCATTTCGCTGATCCAACGGAACAGAAAAACTCTTGAAATGGACTGAAGAGGAAATACACTAAAGGACTGAAAGACATGCAGGAAAAAAAAAGCCAGTAACAAATGTCGACAGCAGAACCCAGCCGGTGTGGATGTAGGTGTTTGTGGCTGGTCTTTCCGCTTTGCTACAAAACTGACCTCAGACTTACTGAGAACAATGCAGCCTGGCTTCACTGCCCCATCTCCTCCCGTGCAGATCCATGCATCTGTGCTGATGAAATGTGTTGGAGGGAAGAAAAAGCTGACACCGCCATTGTTCCCACAGAACTTACAGTGGCACAAAACCAGCATCGGGAGGAGGAACAGATTACTTCTCAGAGAACTTTGCTCAATGCCTTTAAAGATGTTTGTTACAGCCGGGCGGTGGTGGCGCACGCCTTTAATCCCAGCACTTGGGAAGCAGAGGCAGGTGGATTTCTGAGTTCAAGAGTTCGAGGCTAGCCTGGTCTACAGAGTGAGTTCCAGGACAGCCAGAGCTATACAGAGAAACCCTGTCTCGAAAAACCAAAAAAAAAAACCAAAACAAAAAAAAGAAAAAAAAAGATGCTTGTTACAGAACTTTCAAAATCATCAAGTGTGACAGCTCAGCAATAGGGAGACATAGGCTACCCGGGTCTCTAAGTTTGAGGCTAGCCTGGTCTACATAGAGAAACTCTGTTTCAAAGCAAAAAATAAAAATAAAATAAAAATAAAAAAAAAAATCAAAGGATGAAAAAGGTTGCTAGGCAAACATTTACAGCATTTATTTATATGTGTTCATAAAAGGAAAGTGAACTGAAATGCTTAACAATAAACAAATTACCACCTACTGCTGAGATAACTAGTAACTGGGGTCAATGTAACTGTCCTGGCATCCTGAGAAAGCAAGCCTGCCCGTCTCCACTAGGATATCACAAAAACATACTCCTCCACCGTCTTCAAACTCATACCAATTTGTTAAAACTCTACAGGATTCACAAAAGAAAACAGCAAGCTAGCCACTATTCCTAACAAGACTCAAATAGAACATACAGGGCAGTTCACACCATCACAGTTCACACCATCAGAACTCTGAAATAAGACTTAAAACTCATTCACTCAAGGGCTGGAGAGATGGCTCAGAGTACTGACTTCTCTTCCAGAGGTCCTGAGTTCAATTCCCAGCACCCACATGCTGGCTCACAGCCATCTGTAATGGGATCCGATGCCCTCTTCTGGTGTGTCTGAAAACAGCTACAGTGTGCTCACATACATAAAATAATCTTTAGAAATAAATAAATAAATAAATCAAACAAAAAAATCATTCATTCAAGAGGTATGGATGAATAAAGATAAGGCAGGATCATTTTATTGATCACAGAAAAGGCGATTTTAATTTGAGACTAATTAACAAGGAACTTAACTATACAATTTACATTATTTAACCTTGTGGGTTGAGTTGTCTCTGTTGGTAATGCCCTTGCTGCACAAGCAGAAAGACCTGCCCCCATGCGAAAGGCACCTGCGATACCAGCCTAGGAAGGCAGAAGCAAGGAGATGCCCAAAACCAGTCGAGCTAAACTGGCCAGCTCTGAATTAGGCAAGAGATACTGTCTCTAAAAAATAAAGTGGACATAGACTTAGAAGACACTTGGTGTTCACTCTGGCCTTGACTAGGGTGCACACATGCACACTGAACATAGGAACTTTATTTAAGACAGAGTATTTGTACTGGCTGGTTTTGTGTGTCAACTTGACACAAGCTGGAGCTATCGCAGAGAAAGGAGCCTCCCTTGAGGAAATGCCTCCATGAAATCCAGCTGTAAGGCAGTTTCTCAATTAGTGAGCAAGGGTGGGAGGGCCTAGCCCATTGTGGGTGGTGCCATCCCTGGACTGGTAGTCCTGGGCTGGCAGTATTGGGTTCTATAAGAAAGCAAGCTGAGCAAGCCAAGGGAAACAATCCAGTAAGCAGCATTCCTCCATGGCCTCTGCATCAGCTCCTACCTCCAAGTTCCTGCCCTGTGTGAGTTCCTGTCCTGACTTCCTTTGGTGATGAACAGTGATGCGCAAGTGTAAGCTGAATAAACCCTTTCCTCCCCATCTTGCTTCTCGGTCATGATGTTTTGTGCAGACATGCAAACCCTGACTAAGACTGTATAATATAAAATACATACCATAACAAGGATGAAGCGCCAGGGCACACTGTGAGACAGCAACTGAATCCACTTTGTTCTGTGCTTCAAACATCTTGGCATCCCAGTTCCCCCTACAATCCCACGCCCACTGCCTCCCTACACATCACAATGATCTGCCTGCTTCATAAATTTACCAAGCTCAGTGGCCCCTTGCTTCACTTAGACTATAAATCATCAAGACGAAAACCCACTGAAAGCAACAGCCAATGGCGTCATTCTCTTTTGAAACCACACTGTTGTTATCACTCTTCGACTTCCTGCTAGAGAAATCACAGCCGGGGAAATGAGCCTCAAAGATTAACGTTTTGTTCCATTCTCCATCTTCCTAAGGCCAGACAGTAAAAGCCTTGTTGGGTGTGGTGATGCGTGCCTTTAATTCTAGGGAGGTACGGGCAGGCTGATCTCTAATTTTGAAAACAGCCTGGTCTACAGAGCGAGTTCTAGGACAGCCAGAGAGCGAAACACAGAAAAGCCTTATCACAAAAATCAAATTAAAAAAAAAAAATTTAATTTAGGCTGGAGAGATGTCTCAGAGGTTAAGAGCACTGGATGCTCTTCCAGAGGTCCTGAGTTCAATTTCCAGCAACCACTTGGTGGCTCACAACCATCTGTAATGGAATCTGATGTACTCTTCTGGCATGTAGGCATACATGCAAGCAGAACACTGTATACAAAATAAATGAAATAAATCTTAAAAAATTAAAAGAAAAAAAGAAAAAAATTAGAAGGGGGGGGGGGGGGGCTGGAGAGATGGCTCAGTGGTTAAGAGCTCTTCCAGAGGTCCAGGGATAGATTCTCAGAAGTCACATGGCAGCTCATAACCATCTTCAACTCCAGTTCCAGGGGATTTGACGCCTTCTTCTGGCCCCGAGAGGTACCAGGCATCTAAGTGGTACACAGACACGCATGCAAAGAAACCACCCACACATCCAAACAATAAAATCGTTTTATAAAAGATGATAGGAGAGGTGGGCTGGCCATAAAAATCTCATCCAGTCATCCAGTCATCCCCTTTTATAGATAAAATCAAGATCTCTGAAGCCACGGACGGTGCTGTCTACTGAAATCTTAGCGCTCGGGAGGCAGACGCAAGAGTGTCGAGTTTGAGACACTTAGCAAGACCCTTAAAAATCTAAAGGAATGGAAGGGGCTGAGAGGATGGCTCAAAGTCAGGCACTTCTTGAGTTCAAACTCCCAGTGTCTGTACTTTAAGAAGAAGTAGTTAGGCACGATGCTTATGTGTGCTCTCATGGATGGAAAGATGGACTCAGAGACAGCTGGATCTCTGGAAGCTGGCTTCTGCTCCACAAAGTTCAAGGTCACTGGGAGTGCATCTCAAAACAAAAAGGAAGAAGGTTGCTAAGAAATGACTTCTGAGGCAGTCCTCTTACTACCTCACGCATGCAACACACTCACACAAATGCACACACTGCATATACACATGAGCACACACAAGTGCACATACACACAACACACACATACACACGAACTCTAATGAATGCACACTGCACACATGAGTGCACACACTGAATACACATGCACATGAGCACACGTACACACACTGCACACACAAATGTATATACACACTGGCTTTAAGAAATAGTTTCTAAATTTATGACGTGGGATCAAGCAGGTAATTTTTGTGAACGCTGTGATCTGTCATTTAAGTTTAGCGTCTCAGTTTATCTGCACAATAATGGGACAAAAGGAGAAAATTCTCTAGCCCCTCTAGTTCTACCAAAGTTAAAAATGTCATCTGATGTTCGTGAATGTGTACAGTGTACTTATGCGTGTGTGTGTGTGTGTGTGTGTGTGTGTATGCGCGCGCACAGAAAGGAAATAGGTTTTCCAGGAACTGGCCTTGTGCTCAGCACTGCTCTTCTGCCTGTGAGGCAGGTAAAGGGACCTCAGCAGTGCTGTGCAGGGCTCCTCAGGTCAGGCTGGAAGGCTCTGAGCAGAGGAGATCACAGGACTACGGAACCACTGGTGCAGATATACCAGTCACTAGCAAGACACTGACACCTGCTTCC